AGGTCATGAGTTCGATTCCCGGAACTGGAAAAACAAAACAAACAAAAAAAAAATCCTGGCACTCAGGAGGCTGAGGCAGGAGGATCATTGCGAGTTCTAGGTCAGCTTGAGCTACATAGTGAGCTCAAGGCCAGCCTGAACTGCACAGCAAAACCCTGTCTCAAAAAGACTCACAAAAAAATAAAAATAAAAATAAAAAAAATAAAAAATAAAAAGGAGATGTGGAAATAATTCAATAGTGGAATGCTTGCCTATTATTTGAGATGTCTTGGGTTCAATCTCCTGCAACACACACAAAAATGGGGGAGAGGGTATGTCCAACAGGTAATTCTTCAAACAAGGTACATAAATGATCAATAACGGTCGGGCATATAGCTCAGTGGCATAAGCGCCTGCCTGGCAAGCGCAAGGTCCTGAGTTTGATTCCCATACCAGAATAAATAAATAAATAAATAAATACTCAATAAGTAAATGGAAATATGTTCAACTTCATTAGCCACCAGGAAAATGCAAGTCAAAACCACAATGAAATACCATTTCCCACTCTCTAGGATGATTATAATCAAAAAGATAGACAATAGGAGCTGGGGATATAGTTCATTGGCACAGCACCTGCCTGGCAACCCTGAGGTCTTGAGATTGATTCCCGGTACAAAAAAAAAGGTAGACAATAATAAGTAGAAAAATTGAGCTGGGTGTGGTGGCGCACACCTATAATCCCAGCACTCAGAAGGCTGAGGCAAAAAAAAAAAAAAAAAAGAAGGCTGAGGCAGGAGGACTGTTGTGGGTTCAAGACTAGCCTGGGCTACAAAGTGAGCTCAAGGCCAGCCCGAACTGCATAGCCAGGCCCTGCCTAAAAAAGAAGAAGAGAAAAGAAAAACTGAAAACATCCTAACTACTGGTGGGATTTAGAATGGTGCACTCTCTTCTGCAAAACAGTTCAAAGCCGGGCATGATGGCGCACGCCTGTAATCCCAGCACTTGGGAGGCTGAGGCAGGAGGAGCACTGCAAGTTAGAGAGGCCAGCCTGGGCTACAAAGTGAGCTCAAGGTCAGCCTGAACTGCATAGGAGGCCCTGTCTCACAAAGACAAAAACAGTTCAACAGCTCCTCAAATGTTAAACACATAGTTAACCATCTAACCCAACAACTACACTCCTAGGTATTACCCAAGAATTAAAACATGGGCCCATACAAATCCTACACATAAATGTTCGTCACAGTGTTAATTGTACTGATCAAAAAATGACAAGTGGACATGACGGCATATGTTTCTAATTCCAACATTCTAGGAGGCCAAAGCAGGATGATCCCAAATTTGACCCCAGCCTGGGCACTTACTGAGAGAGTTCCTGTCTTTCAAAATAAAAAAATTTGTAAAAGGTTGGATGGAGATGTAGCTCAATTTAAGGCCTTAGGTTCAATCACCAGTACCAAACGAAAAAGAAAACAACCTAAATGTCCAATGACTATGAATTCACAAACAAAATGTGTATTCCCATCAAGTGAAATGAAGTACTAATACATATCACAATTTGGATGTACCTTGAAAACACTATGCTAAGTGAAAGAAGCCAGACAAAAAAGCCCACATATTGTGATTCTATTTAGATGAAATGAGCAGAAGAGACAAATCTACAGACACAGAAAGATAGTGGTTACCAGGGGCTCATGGGAGAGGAGGAGTGACTGCTAGTGAATATAGATTTTTCTTTGTGGCATGAATATGTTCTGATATTAGTTAAGTGTAATAGTTGCACAACTCTATAGGTACACTACAAAATATTAAACTATACACTTTTAAAGGGTACAAGTGAATTATGTACATCTAAATATGATGTGTGAGTGAGCCGGGTGTGGTAGCGCACGCCTGTAATCCCAGCACTCCATAGGATCCTTGCGAGTTCGAGATAAGCCTGGGCCACAAAGTGAGCTCAAGGCCAGCCTGAACTGCAAAGTGAGACCCTGTCTCAAAAAAAGACAAAAACAAAAGAACAAAACAAACAAGAAAATGATGTGTGAATTCTATCTGGAGAAAATTTGCAAGAAACTGTACAGTTTAAGATTTGTAGATTTTCATATATGTAAATTTTACTTTAAAATAATAAAATAAAAATGGAGTGGGGAGTGGGTAGAGGTATAGATGAAACAAGAATACACACATTTAAGTTTATTATACTGTTCTGGTACACTATGTATACGTTTGAAATTTTGTTTAATAAGCTTTTTTAACTTAAGTACAAAAATAATTTTTAAATAAAGTACTTCTTAAAAAGTAAACTAATATTCCCAACATCCGTCTTCTTGTTTTCTGATACAAGAGCAGACTTCTACATCTTAAAAGACCAAAGAAATCACCACTTTATTATTCTTTTGCAATGTTATATGAAAACAGATACAACAGAAGACAAGCTGTGTAGCAAAAATGCAGAATACTTGGTGTTAAAGTGGACAAAGAAAACGTGAACTTCCCCAGTTCTATGATTAATGGATGTGAAAACTTCTAATACATACATGGACGCAAGAATACAGTGCTGTCCAATACAATAGCTCCAGATACAATCATGTAAATTTGGCTTTAATTAACTAAATTCTAACTTCAGTTCCTGGTCTCACTAGTTACTTTTCTAATTTAAGTATCCACACATGGCTACTGGCTTACTGGATAAAGTATAACTAGAACGCTGCCATCATCGCATCACCATGGACAGTACTGTTCTAATTGATAAGAAACATCCACAAAGAAATTCACCAAGCTACAGATGTTACACAACTCTTCAAAGGCAAATTTCTCCATGTGCTGAAACAAATTATTACTGTATTGAGAAGTATCCTCAAATCAGATGTGAAATATAAATAAGGCAAATTAGCTTTACAAAGATCTAAAGGAAAGGTCTATTTATAACCCATGACGTTTAAGAGTTAATGAACACAACAGAATACACAGAATAAAATTCCTTTCTGAACAGAGCTTTGAGGCAACACACATAACTTAAAGACACATAACTTATTAAATATGCTTCATCCACAGGGAAAAAAGTTTAATTAGATGATTTCTAGGCAGATTTTTGTTTTGTTTTGTTTTTCTCCGGTACCGGGAACCGAGCTCACGACCTTGCGCTTGCCAGGCAGGCGCTTTGCCGCTGAGCTAAATCCCCAGCCCCTTAATTAGATGATTTCTAAATGTGTAGTGAAAATTGCCTATGTAGTTAATTCCAGTAGGTATAAACTTCCGTTAATGACCATTAACATAAATATGCAGTATCAGGAAACAGGTGCATTCTTAATTCAAATATTTAGGACATTTTTAGCACTTCAGAAAAAAACAAAGTGAGCAAATTTTAAACTGTGAGTTCAAATACATTTTTATATTTAGGAACCCAGAAACAACAAAGTTTCACCTTGCATTCCCTCTCAAGCTATTACAGCAAAACTTGGAAATAAAATAACATCCTCAAAAGAAAAAAAGAATGCTTTATGTTAAGAAATTCAAAACCAGCCGGACGTGGTGGCTCACTCCTGTAATCCCAGCACTCAGGAGGCTGAGGCAGGAGGATCATTGCGAGTTCGAGGCCTGCCTGGGCTACAAAGTGAGCTCAAGGCCAGCCTGAACTGCATCGGGAGACCCTGTCTCAAAAAAGACCAAAAAAAAAAAAAAAAAAGAAAGAAATTCAAAACCAACTCTTTCCTTGCCCAAAATTAAAGCTCCATTTAAAGAACAAACCTCTGAAAAAAATTACTTAAAAATTTAAGTACATTTTATCCACAATAAATACTTCTGAACTGAATTTATCCGCCCCCCCCCAAAAAAGGAATTTCCAAGCGAAAACTTAAACATTGAAATAGAAACCAGCCCGTAGGCAAGGTACTACACAGGAGGGTCACAAGGAATTGATGGAAAAAGTTACCACTATTAGGCATCTGGAGTCAAATTAAATCAACCACTATTTACATATTTCTAAATCTGTATAGACCTCACATGGTGCTTTCCCATATGTTATACACAGGCCTACTGAAACTTTCACATTGGAATTAGTATTAGATAGGTTCTACCGTTACCCAAAGTTAAATTCTTCAAATAAAGTAATATTCCATAACCGTTTTCCCATTGTTCACAAACCCTTACTGTTCATCAAATCACCCCGATAAATCCATCTGTTCCTGCCACTTGCTTCCAAAGAAAAATTCCAGCAACCAAGGACACCAGATTGTAAAACAGTTAAGTATTCTGGCACTACCCAAACATGCTGTTAAGAAATCTTGGCAAATTTGTTTAAAATCCCTTAAGCCGTTAATTAGTTCAGTTGCAAAAACGAATGCAATACAAATCTACATCCCCGCAGGTATGACTTCTATCTGCTAAACAGAAAAAACGCCTCAGATTTTCGATGCACTCCAAATATAATGGACCTGCCTCCCATCTCACTTTCCCTCTCACCTCTTCTAAGATTTCAGGATCGCTTCCAGGCACCGCTTCAGTGTTCCCCCATCCTCACAGTCCATCCACCCGCTCCAACCCCACCTCCTTACTTCAATTCCACACAATTCTAGCACCCTCAGGTTCCAAGACGATCCTTCCCTTAGCGCCCCCTGAGGTCCCAGGCAGCCCCACCACTGGGCTCCCCAAATCTCGCTCGGCCCCCATTTCCTAACGGCTCCTCCCTCCGTTCCCCCACCCACTCGTCACCAGGTTCATCCTGCCCCTCCAACCGTCTCCCGCCCCCAGGTTCCTTCCTGCCCTCCAAACACAGCTTCCCTGTCTCAACGATGCATCTTGTTCCTCCAACGGGCCGCACCGTAACGCCCTGCCCGTCCCTCTAGTCCCCACATCCTCCAACGTTCAGCTACTCTCAATCCATTTTTTTCAACATGCACATAAACGGGAGCCCCCACCCCCAACCTCGATCCTCCATCTTTCCCTTTTATACTTGCTTCCTTTCTTCCTCCACCCCGCACCCCCACCTTCTCCGGAAGAGTCTGTTCCAGGCCAAGGTCTCTCACCTCATTCGGTCACTTCAGTGGTGCCAACCGCTTCATACAGGAAAAAAATAACCAATCACGTCCCTGTGGGCGCTTCCCCTGCGACTCCGGGCACTTACACGGCACCCGCCCCACCGGGAACCCCGCACATACGCACGCACAAACCGAGGTCCTTGGGGACGAGGGTTAGGGGTAGAGTGAGCGTTCTTACACCGGCCTCAAACACAGCCCACTTCGCTACAGCCCTTCGCCATTTTGGTTTCCCGCGGACTGCCGGTGCATTCTGGGAGCGCGGAGCGCCTCCACGGCCGAATGGCAGCTCTCCAGGGCCGCGGAGAGGCGGGGGCTGCCGGCGAGGCGGAGGAACACCGCGGCTGCGTCTCCGGCCCGGGCTGAACAAAGAAGGACTCTTTAACGCTGCGGTGTGACCAAGTCCTTCCGCCGCCGGCGCTGACACAATAGTGAGCGCTGCGCTGCGGGATGGTGCTTGTGGTGCGCTGTTTGTATTATTAAAGGAAAGCGCGGTGGCCGGCCTGGCGTGCGTGGTTTTTTTCAGTAAGAAATAAGACAGTGCTCCCTGCATTTTCCTGGATGGATTTCCTCAGCTAAAGCGCCGTTTCTTATTCCTTTACTTTGAGGCCTGCTGTTAAAATTCCCTTCAGGGAGAAGACCCAGGATGCCAAAATTGAATTTTGTTCAGCAAATGCGGTCCAAACTCCTTAACAGGAGCTGCTTTGTATGGAAGGTTTTCGCACACCATACATGCACAGTGAAAGGTCTTTTTTACGTTTACCTGATTTCCAGTCTTTGCTAATTGTAAAAGTGTTGTTGTTGTTGTTGTTGTTGTTGTTGTTTAATACAGAATTTTCATACTGAGGCAAACCCTTAACCTGCTGCCGACAGGGATTCTAACTGACAAACTGAGAGGGAGTGCTTCTCTCTTTAGTTTTTTATCGGGTACATATAACCTCCTCTATTAAGTGTAGTACCTTTATAATTTTGTCAGAACATTTTAAGTCATTTTATATTTTTGTCCCATATTGTTCCCAAGGAGATAATAAATATTATGGGGTTTCTTTATAAAAAAGTACCTCTTGGGACTTTTGCTACTTTTGCTCATATTTCATATTTCCTATAATCTATAATCTCAAAATTTAGCAAATAAGCATTTTGTGGTCTAATATCATTCAATATACCACTACTAGTCAACATTTGAAATACCTTAGTAATACCTTTCCACTGCTTTTCCTGAGTAATGGTCCTAACCGTTTAAATCTGTCTTCTTACTTAGCCTCACCATATTTGCGGCCTCTCAAATTTCACTTTATTTCAATTCTGTGTTACAATTTCTAATGAATTTGTCCTTAATGCCCTGGCTTCATTGATGGAGGAGAATTTTTGATTAGAAAAAGACATACAGAGGCTGGGATTTAGCTCACCGGCACAGCGCCTGCCTGGCAAGCGCAGAGTCGTGAGTTCGATTCCCGTTACCGGAAAAAAGCCAAAAAAAAACAAAAAACAAAAACGAAAACAAAAAAAAAAAGGACATACAATTCAAAACTGAATAAATCAGTATACTTCCTGTGTAAGTAAGCCTAATCATAGAACCTCAGTATTGAAGTACATTTGGTCTCTAAATAGGCCTCAACATTTGTGTCAAGTGATCAAGCCTAAACTTCAACATGTTCAATGATTTCAGTAAGTCAGAGGCAGTCATTTTAATCTCAAAATCAGGGCCGGGGATATAGCTCAGCAGGCATAAGTGCCTGCTTGGCAAGCTCAAGGTCCTGAGTTCTATTCCCGGAACCAAAACAAAACAAAAAAAATCTCAAAAACACTAATACATTGGTCTCTGTAGGGAGTACATTCCAAGCCCCTAATGAATACCTGAAGCCTCCTATAGTACTAAACTCTATATATACTATTTTTCTATAAGAACATAACAATGATAAAGTTTACTTATTGACCATAATTAAGAGATTAACAACACCTGCCTGGCAAGCATAAGGTCCTAAGTTGGATTCCTGTACCAAGAAAAAAAAATCAAAAATGGACTGTAATAAAAATGAATGTGTTCTCCCTCCTTCCCTTTTCTCCCCTTTTCCTATCCCCTCTCAAAATATCTTTGTGTAGACCTTAACAACCTCAACTTTTATCTCTTTCCTTCTTAAATTGAAAGCATTGACCTTTTCACTTTTTTTTTGTCCACTGAGGCATTTTATTTGTATGTTTTACATCCCTAGAAAGAGAATCCCATGATTTTCCCTCCTGTGTGTTTTCGTCGCACCTCCTCATGGTCCATGATGCCAGCTGAGGTTGTCAATACAATGAAACCAAACTGACAGGATGGGAGCAGATTATTCTACCATTTTTCCAGGTCTTTCAGCCGCACATCAAACCTGGGACTGATCACACCACACTTGTTTAACCTGCCTGTGAGGTTCACAACAATTTTTCCAGCCCTGTGATCATCAATGATTTCAAATTCGCCAATGTAACCATGCTTTATCGTCACAGTTAGAAAATGGACGATGACTTTGGAGCTCGGCCTAGTAAGGACCTGGTGTTTGCCTCTCTTTTCGGCAGTGTTGATGCTCTTGAGAGCTCTTGAGAGCATCAGCCTGAACATTCATGTGCACCATTATGGCTTAGCCACTAAAGGGAGATCCAGGCTATAGCCTCTGCGGGCTGCTAGAAGCACCAGATCCCGCCAGCACTTCAGCCTGCATCCCTAGAGCTGGTCTGCCAGGGTAGAGCATGGGGTACCCCAGGGATTGTTCTCCTCTGAGCCTGTCCAGGCGCCGCAAAGTCAGGATCCCCAGCACAGGACTGTGGGATGACACTGATAGCCAACGGATTAACTCGGAGCCATCAGAGAGTTACCGCACGGAAAGATGGCGGAGACCTTTTCACTTAAAGGAAGTACTTCACAGCTTCTCTTTGTCTTATCCAATCCAAATTGCTATCATTACTACTCTTGCACTTTGGAGCCATTATACAATAGCATGACAACCGATCTGATGACTGCAACCCTGAGTGACTAACAGGCAGTATAAGGGTCAGGGATATAGCCCAGTGGTACAAGCGCCTGGATGGCAAGCACAAGGTCCTGAGTTCGATTCCTGATACCCAAAAAAATAAAAATAAAAAAGCAAGCAGTGTATGAACCGTGGACATGTTGCATAATGGGTTGACTCAGGTCTCAGAGAAGACAGAGCAGGATAGTGAGATTCTGTAATACTACTGAAAATGGCATGCAATTTAAAAATTATGAATTGTTTATTTCTGAAATTTTTCATTTAACATTTTCAGACCATGGTTCACTATAGGTAACTGAAATATCAGAAAGCCAAACTGCAGATAAGACAGTGGATTACCTTAATTAGATAATTCTTCCAGATATATATATATATATATATGTATATATATATATACATAGTCTCCCATCCTGTAATTTTCACTTACTGGCCTCTTTAATCATAAAAATTATTCTAGTCCCTTGTAAATTAAAGAATTCAATGATACATCTATCTAAAAAGCATACCCCTTATTGTTATCTATTTCTGTGGTCATTAATATTATTAAAAAAAATTGCATTTCAACTTTTATCTAGACATATAATGAAAGTACACTCTTGCACCCTTGAAATTAAACATGGCCTTGTGATTTGCTTTAACCAGTCAAATGGGAAGGGAAGTGATATAAGTCACTTTCTAGGAGAATCTTCAAAAGGCAGAGGCATATCTCTTTATCCATGGCTCTAGTATTTGTTGAAGCTTGTATTGAGATTGTCTGTCACTTTAGGTCTCTAAATGACTATAGTAAGCAAAGACTAGTGTTATTTGACCACTAACACAATCCACTTTCAGAATATTTCCATCATCCCATCCCAAAATCCATTATGCCCATTCGCTGTCGATCTGTCCCACTCTCACTCTGCTATTTGTTTCTATTTGTTTCAAAGTTCTGAAAACTTTGTATGAATGTATTTATACATTGTGTAGTCTTTGAGTCTAGCTTCTTTCACTCACCATATTTTTAAAGTCCTTTCATGTTATACCAGTCAGTAATTCCTCTGTTCTGATTGTTGATTACAACTTCATTATATGAATGTACCACATTTCCTTCATTGATCTGATGGAGGACATTTGAAGTATTTCCATTTTTTGGCTATTAAGAGTAAGTTTGCTGCCAGGCATGGTGGTGCACGCCTATAATCCCAGCACTCCAGAGCCTGAGGCAGGAAGATCATTGCAAGTTCAATGCCAGCCTGGGCTACAAAGTGAGCTCAAGGCCAGCCTCAACTGCATAGGGCGAACCTGTCTCAAAAAGACAAAAAAAAAAAAAAGAATAAGTCTGCTATGAACATATATGTACAAGTCTTTATGTAGACATTTATTTCTGTCTTATGTAAGCATATTTCTAGGGGTAGAATTGCTGAGTTTCATGATAAACTTATATTTACGTTTTTAAGATACTGCCAAACTGCTGTTCCAAAATGTGAGCAATGTGTAAAGGTTCCAATTTTTCTACATCAATGTCATTATTTATTATTTTATCTTTCTGATACTATTCATTTTAGTGGGTGTGAAATGGTTCCTAAGTACGGTTTCAGTTTACATTTCCCTAATGGCTAATGATGTGCATCTTTTCTCTTCTTTTTGGTGCCAAGAATCGAACCCAGGACCTCATACTTGCAAGGCAGGCACTGTACCACTGAGCTAAATCCCCAGCCCTCAGGTGCATCTTTTCATGTGCTTGTTATCTGTTCATATATCTTTTTTGGTGAAGTAGCTATTCAAATATTTTGTCTTTGTTGTTGTTTTGTTATAGTTGTTTTTGTAAAAGCCCCACCACAGAAATCAAAGGTTCTAGTTTAATTTCCAGTTCCCACCCCTGCCCTGAGGTTAGATCTTTTTTTTTTTTTTTAAAGAATAAAAGAAGGATAACATAATAATAGGGGGGACTTAGCAAATTACAGACAAAATGGTAGGAAATTATCAATGGTTATCGTTTTTTTATTATTATCTACAAAATAGTTTCTCAGGAAAACAAATAGACAAATAATAGTGAGTTA